TTTACGTTAATAATTATGATACAGTCTGGTGGCAAAATAATCCCTAACAATGTATGATGAGTACTACTGTACAACCAAAATACCCCATGACATGACGTGATAGACATGCAACTTTGTGTTGATGTTGAAAACTTTCACAACAAACAGGTAGAGATAAATTCCCTCCACCAGCATCCAACAGAAAGCAGCCATCAGGAAATACTGCATAAGAGCTGCTACTGTGACACAAATAGCCTGCAATAAAAATAATAATTGGTGGTCCATCGGTCTCGATGATGACATCTATGTGCGTGTGTGGGTTCGTTGATGACTGAGGAGTCCAAGGCGGGAACAGCAAACACGTCCACAGTGGGAGCAGGGAAACTGGCCTGGAGGTTTGGGTGACTCTGCTGCTGCCTTCCTTTTAGCGCACAAATAGCCTGTAATAGCAAAGGGGTAAAGACCAAAAAATTAATTTGTCTTTTTCAAGCTTCCTTCAAGGATGATGTATTTGAATGAATTCCACGAATAGGGGAGAGCCTCTAACCGTATTTTCTGTAGCGTTTATTCCAGCAAGAAAGATCATTTGTCCAGCTCCAAGGGAAAGAGAAAGACTAAGACGTATTTGAGACAGAGGTTGTCGTTGTCGGACATCTCTTTTGAAAATGAAATAAAATATTAATGTTAATATGAATTCAGACGCTAAGCAAAGCAAGAGAAAAAGCTCCACGGCAACCAATAACAACGCAAAGGGAGGGCAATGCCAAAGAAATCTAGTAATCATTAAAAGAATGAGCAACAAACCAACGCATGAACACCGTTAATCAAACGCACTATGAATAATGACTCATGAATTTTGCAACATACGGAGTGTACAAAGTTCCAAGGAACTTGTAAAGAACATCGTCCACAATTTATTGTTGTTTTTATCTCTAAAAATGTTTTCAAGCGACTGAAAGTGAAGTACGGTTGACAGTCTCTTCATATGCTTCAAACCTTTGAGTGATCTGATCTCTTTTTGCACGTACAGACCTGATTTATCTAACATCGTCAAATTGATCCAATAATATAGATCGCAGAGTGTTTAGAAACAGTACTTACGTAAAGAAAAAATACAAGCGATAGCACA